TATCCAAGTTAAAAATACATGCAGTCAGTATATATAGTTTTGGAGGTGAAGGTAGAAGCTTAAAAAAAAAAAAGCACAACAAACCCTTTATATCATACATAGCTTTATTTCACAGCCATGTTTTCTAAAACATACAGAAATGTATATCATTGAATGTTAAATCACAGGAACGTCTGATGACTTAAGAACAAAAAAGAAAGTAAAGACATGAATTGGGATACCTACTAAGGAAAAAAGAAGCACCAAGATGTACACTATAATTTGCCAAATCGTTTGAGATTTCTGGTGAGCTGATGGCAAAACCATAACACTTAGGCTAAGACAAATATTTTCCAGACTCATTGGTTTAAACATAAATCTTCATTTGGCCCATAATTTTTGTCTTTTATATTTAATCTCCCAATAGGAAAATTAATTCAAGAGAAATATGGCATGAAGCAATTGTAATGAATTTTTTTCCCCCTGAACCATATAATCTTCCAATCAAGATATAAACGACCTATTTGGAATTCTGAAACTTGAGAATGACCTTAAAGAGATCTTTCGAAAATGTCTCTAATAATTCGAAGGACGGAAGGATCAGCGCACGTGTTGGTGTTGGCACACGGTTCCAAGGCTTTAGATTTTTTAAAAAGGTTACCCATAAAGCAATTTAGAAACAGTGTCTGGGAAGTGTTTTTGGAGGTAGTGATTTGGAAAGACGCTGAATAGTGGTTTTTTCAGATGCCTTACCTAGGAGTTGTACTCAGTGTGAAATCTTCCTCCTACACCCATTCCCAGTGGGACAGAACAGAGATCTTCATTACAGGAAAATTCTTCCTGGTCATTGCATCTCCTGGACTGATTATTTGGCATTTAGTAAGAGTGTGGTCGGTGTTCTGTAGACAGAAATCATTAGCCCCGAGTTTATTTTTCTTTGAAATTGTTTGTGAAAACCAGGCAGTTATGGTTCCCTCAATGCCCCCCTCCCCCCCCAAAATGCCAGTCTGTTGTAGAAACAGCTTACTAATGGTTTATGAGGGGGGAAACATACCCCATTTTGCAACAAATGAAGATTTTATTGTAGGCTTTGAGTGACAGATTGCTGTAGGAAAAGCATGTATAAAAGAAATTGGGACAATATTCTTAGAAAGAAAATATGACTGGAAGACATTCCATAACCATATTGGGGGAGTTCTAAGAAGTTCGTTTACAACCTCTTTGTGTAGCAAAAAGAAATTTCCATAGTTTCCCTTGAACCACATGAAATACAAAATAGCTTTTAAAGAAATGTACATAAAAGTGTAATGGGACTCTTCCATAGAGACTTGAGGTTTTAAATTATGTTAGGGGAAAGTAATCCGTTTTATATTGATATATTTGCTATTTTATTTTCCAACGCAGATTTCCTTTTCATTTTTTAAATTAGAAGTATTAAAAAGATGTATTCTCAAGTTTTCTCCATGTGAAACATTGGAATAAATCACGTTAGTTTCTAATTATTTGTTAATTTCCATTTCGGGAAATTAGGAAACTATTAGTGTAGGAAAATATTAGTGCCTCTTTCCCATCCTTATATAATCTTGAGAAAGAAATCAAAGGACAATATGTGACCACCACAGTGGACATAAGAACTTGTGGGAGAATGTCTGTCTCTTGGGCTCTATCGAGGAAATCAAAGGGAGCAAAGTTGGTTGGTCCTTGGTCTTTTTCGGTTTTCATGTTAGCCACTGCAGGTACTGGGCTGCTGAGCTAAGGGCTCTTGCTCAGGTGGAAACTGTCACTGGCTTTTTGTGTGGGGTACGGGGAATACTGAAAGGAAGACCCCAAAGGGATTCCTCCTGTTCCATTTGCTCAGCAGCCATCCCTCCTCATTGGGTCATGCTCTGCGATGTCTTCAGGACAATGTGTCCTGGAACCTTAAGGGACTATCTTTCTTTTTGCCCTGGAATCTGACTCTGGCAAATCCTACTGCATCTTCTCCATCCTCCTGGAGATATATTTCTAGGTCTTAGATTTAAATCTTGTTCTCAAGTATTTTCTAATTCAGCAACCTCACAAAGTTGTGCCATGAATCATCAGCTGAATTTGGCTTGGAGGAAGGACTCATTTCTTCTCTTTAAGGATCTTCATGGTTTTCTCCCAGGGACAAAATTATTACTTCTTTCAAGTTAATGCAAACAAGAAATATATGGCAGAGGATTAAAAAAATACATTTATCACAAAAATGTACATGTAGCTCATGAGAGAGTGTGCATGTTTTGAATAACAGTTGTTCTTGCTCTTCAACGATAATTGTGTATCGAATATTCCATTTCTCCCTTAAAAGAATATAACATTAACTAGATTTCAAGTAAGTATTTTCAGGAAGGGTGCTATTAATTTAAATATAATTCCATTTTATCCAGTTCCATTGGCCTTTTTTTCTTTTTGGGATTAATAGAATTACCAAATTGCTTTTGCTAAGTGTTTGTTTTTACTTAGCATGGATTACAATAAAATATTTGTGCCCAGGTCATTATCCCCCCTCTCACTGCCACGGTCACATTTGTCATATTTTTATTTCCCCCATCCATTCTTGTTCATCAGGCCAGTACACAAAGAGATAGCCCTGATTTGAAAGGGTAGGCTTGGTACTGAACAACCTCTATTTTAGATCCTTTTCTTCTAGTAAGACATGCCTGCATAATTTGGCTGAAATAAAATATTTAACACATGAGTACATCAGAAACATTTAAAAAAAATTTCCAGATATATGTACTATAAAATCATCTATACAAACTCAAAGGCAAGAAAAGAAAACAAACAAACATGGAGGTGGAAGAACATTCATGAAATAATTTAAATGCATTCTGGTTTATGTTCAAGGTTCTTAAATAAGAAAATGAAGTAATTAACTTACTATAAACAGTGTGGGGGGGCCCATTAGAGCCCCACGTCCTGATGACTGCCCGCCCTCCTAGAACTCCAAGAATCTACAGGCTCTTTGTTTTGTGACTCTCACTTTTCCCAAATCCCCAGTAAAATAAAATGACACTCTGTCACACATGATTATTTTTTTTTTAGAATATAAGTAGTTTTTAAGGCTTTTAAAAAAGCGATTTCACCACACCACATAACTCAAGAAAATTTAGATTCCCTAGAACATCTTTAAAAGTTTGGGTATTGCCGTCTTGCTTTCTACCCTCCCCCCAATAGCCCCCCTCCCCCGCCCCGGCTTCCCACATGCTCACACATACAACTCAAACGAAAAGGCAGGCGAGAAAACACAGAATAGCTCTTCAGGGGAAAGGTGGGGGAAACTGGTACCTTGTTAAAATAGAGAAAGAAAGGGTCCCCTATAGAAACTGGTTAAGCAGATCTGCCCCCACTTTTCTTGGTTGGGGCTAATTGAACATACATCAGTTTAAAGCTGCATTTCAAGAAGATTTGGTTTAGATGGGAGCGTTTGATTTTGGAATCTAATTTAAGATGTCTTTTCCGGGATGCAAGACTAGTCCCTCTCTCCCACCTTGCTGGGAGCCCTCCATCCAGGATTCTGTGGCCTGAATTGCCTCGGTAGACCGCGTGAGGCCAGAGTCACGGCTCGGGGCTCACTGCTACCCTCTCCTCTTGCTCTTATTTGTAACTTTAACCCCTATATGCTTCAAACTCCCTCAAAAGCAGCAGGAAGATGCTGGCCACGTGTGCGGATATGGGCCCCCCCATCCCCCCCCACGCTGAAATACTTGATCAACAGGCTCTTCACAGAGTACCTGATTTCTTCTGCATTTGTTTCTTGACTCCTGACGCTGAATGGTTCGAAGTTGAGAAGAGTCACTCCCATTCTCCAGTGGCAGTTTTCCAGCTGCCAAATTAATTAGCCACTTAACTTCCATCTCCAGGAGGTGTAAGGGTCAGTGAGCTTGAGTTTGCGAAACACTTCCCTGCGATCTGAAAGTTGTTCTGTTAATCACAAGGTGGTTGTGGTTTTGTTTTGTTTTGTTTTGTTTTTTTGTTTTTTAAGTTCTCTCGCTCCCCAGGGTTCTTTACAAAATTGAACAGAGTTTTTAGAACGTGCTTGCATTTCAGGTTTTTCTTTCCTTTTAACACCTTCTTATATATGAAATGTTTAGATAAGAAATGAAAAGGCAGGGAATGGAGGCAGTTACTTGGAAAATTGTTCACCACTCCTTCCTTCCTTCCTTCCTCCCTTCTCCCTTCCCTTCCCTGCCCTTCTCTGCCCTTCCCTTCCTTCCTCCCACCTTTCTTCCTTCTTTTCCTCTGTCCATCCTTCCCTCCCTCCCTCCCTTCCTCCCTTCCCTTCTTCCCTTCCTTCCCCCCTCCCTCCCTCCTTCCTTCCTTCAGTACTTAGTATGTGTCAAGTACGAAGGTAGGTGCTAGGAATATAAAGGTGAGTAGGTTATTGACCTCAAAACTCTCACAATTCAAAGTGGGAGGGATGAGGAAAGCACTCAGGAGCATCAGGGAGGGAGTAACTATCTCTGATTACTTAAGAATGGCCAAGATAGGGAGAGGAACTTTCTTGGAGGGAACACTCCGAGAATAGACATAAGTATCTTAAAATACACAAAAAGAACTTCATTTTAATCCATTGAATTTTAAAAAAATACATAAGTGAATGTCTGTTTAAAATCACATGTGGAACTTCCAGCTGTAATGTATGATTAGCCATTGTTCTATATGAGCAGATATAATTTCTCCTTCCATCCTTCTGTCCTTCCTTCCTTTTCCCTCCTTTGAGATCCTAGTCCCATTTTATCTCTAGAAGCTTGGTGAGGCTCTCTTTCGACCTCTTTTCCTTTTCCCTCCCCGCCTTTCCTTTTTCTGAAGCCGTAGTCAGATGTTATCACTGGGCATGGTGCGGGGCTGTGTCCCTTGGCGTTGTGGTCAGTGTCTTCTGTCCCAGCAGATTTCCGAAGAAATAAAAATGGGACTTTCCCAGTTATCCTTTCAGCTCTCAGCTATGATCTGATCCTCTCTGCATTCTTACTTCCTCCCAATCTGCCTGTTTATTTTAGGTAATGGGACTCCTGACCAACCACGGTGGCGTACCCCATCAGCCCCAGACCGATTATGCTCTCTCCCCTCTCACCGGGGGCCTGGAACCTACCACCACGGTGTCGGCCAGCTGCAGTCAGAGACTAGACCATATGAAGAGCTTGGACAGTCTGCCAACATCTCAGTCCTACTGTCCACCCACCTATAGCACCACGGGCTACAGTATGGACCCTGTCACAGGCTACCAATATGGGCAGTATGGACAAAGTAAGCCTTGGTCTCTCTGGGGCTAATTACTCCTGACAGGATGAAAAATCTCTACCCTTCCTTAAGAAAGGGGCGGCGACGGTGGCGGTGGCGGCGGAGGCAGCGTGATTAGGCCTGACATCCCAGTATCCATTTTTGGCAAAGCCCACCGACTGTTCCAGCAAGGGCTCTCTTGTATCGTTATTTTCTTAAGTGATGTCAACAACATCTTGCGGTTATTAATTGCCGCGACGTGAAGGCTGATTGCCACTAGGTGAAACACGAGGGTTGGCCGAAATGAAATAACCCCTGGCATTAGAAACACATGTTCTTAATGAGGTCTGCTCAAGGATCATATGGGGTATAATCCCAAGGACACAGACTTGTGTCAAACTTGTCTCCGGAATAAAAATATTAGTCTCGATCCTTTGATACCGTGGTATTAAATATGACATTGTCAGCGTGTAGCTGATTTTGCCCCTTGCTGTGAATTGTCCCAGCATGACCTAAAAAGCTACGTGTGTTTCCTTACAGGTGCCTTTCATTATCTCAAGCCAGATATCGCATAAGTGAACTGTCCACTTGGAGCTAAAACTGGCCCTGTTTCCGGTCTCCACAGCCTATACATGAAGAATCCTTTCAGAAAAAAAAAAAAATCACCTTTTTGGGGGGCAGTCTCGCCAGGACATGAAGAAGAGTGATTGATTTTTTTTTTTTCTCCAGTAGTTGGTTTCAAATTCTTTTGAACATATTGGACAAAAGCAGTGGAAGAAAGGAAGGGCCTGGAACAGTGAAAAGACAAATGCAACATTTGAAGGCAATGATTTAACATGGCTACACATCAAATACCCCAACTCTTCAGCGCTGATGATCAAGGAGCCAAAACATTCCAGTTGTGTGCACGTGCACGTGTGCGTGTGTGTCTCTGTGTGTGAGATTTATCTGGACTGGTTCAGGCAAGCAGAATGTTCTCAAATATAGCCGGAGAGTACTCTAAACTATAAAGGTTTGATGTTCAATGCTGACACTTACACAATTTTGAAACTGCTCCCGTAACGAAGCAGGAATGGAGGAATCCTTGACTTTTCTACACACTGGAAATTGATATAAAAATAAATGGCACCATTTTTTAGGAAGTTAGACTAGATGTAAAGGACCTCCCAAATAAATTATTTGTGATCTTGTCCTCATTTGTAACCCAGTTGTCAATAAAGGTCCCGGGGCAGACAGCCTTGTGAACAGGATATGGGATAACAGGGAGAAAAAGCTTGTTTTCTTTCTTGGTGTGGGGAGAGGTATGGGACATTTTCCCAGCTCATTTTCATTTTGAAGCCAACCTGGCCGGGGTGGGGGCAAGGAGGTGCGGTGGAGAGGAAGTGACGAGCATTCCCACAGCTGCTTATCGGTGTGCAATACTGTGTACCTCACGGATGCTTTGGCAATGGCCAGGGCCGTAGAAACAGAACCAGAACTATATTTTTGCAGGTGCTTTATTTTCGCAGCCCACGATTCATTGCGGTAGAATGCATGATGTTCGCCATTTAATGGACAACCAACACCCGGCTTGCTCCCTTTGACTAGAGACCGTGTTCGAGAATCATGCTTTTACAATGACGACGTTTACATTCTTCTCTTTTCTATGAAAGGCAGGGCAAGAGCAGAAATGTCCACGTGGCTCTCATGTACTTTTAAATTATACAAGGATATCCAATATGGAAAGATTAAAGGAACCGAGGTTTACATACGTTTGTGTGGTGACATTTTAGAATGTCAATAAATTTGTTTTTTTCGAGCTGTTAAGAGGAACGAGAAGGTGGAAGGCAGTGTTATTTATTTCTTTCTCTTCTTGGAACCATGAACGAGGTAGGCACAAGTACATTCCCTTTAGAGTTAAGAACGATGACGTAGTGGGGTAGTGAGACTAGACGTAGTTCCAGTTTAGTTCATGCGTTGGTCATAGAGGGTGATGGGTCAAGAGAAGTGCTCTCTCTGTGTTGCAGTCTCAACCAACAACAATGTGTTGTAAAAATGTCTTTCATGTAAAAAGTGCAGTAAATATTTACTATTTATAATGAATAAACAGTTATGAAAACTTGCCCAACACTGCTTTTTGGGGGGAACCGGTGCACATAGCATTAATAAAAACTTACAAATGGAAAACCTACAAACACATGCTTCATTGCCAACGGGGCCTTTTGAATTAGACTGTAACCTCCACAGATAGGGTCACACAGTCCAAAACTGTGTTCTCTTGAAGAAGCTTGGTTGAACACAATTTTAAATGATGGAAGCTTTTATTTTTGTAGATGTGGTATTGACAAGACCCCTAAGTCCACCTTTCTCTCTCCTTGGTTCTCTGAACTATCAAATCCCTTCACTGTCATCTTGGGAGTATGTCTTCCCCCAGAGGACCTTCTCTGTCTTCATCTTCAGTGGTCATCTCTATTGAAATTTTTATTGAAAGCTTTCATATTCTGTCATTTGCTTTATTTTAGAGGCTTTCTTCACTTCTCATGGAAAACATGACTGCCTACATCATTCATTCTTTCTTCCTCCTTTTTCTCCCCATCCTTCTCCACTTCCTTCCCTCCCTCCATCTGTCCCTTCAATACTTTTTTAAACACTTATTTTTTGAGAGTCTAATTGTACCAGGTATGGTCCTTGGCACTGGTGTTTTGACAATGCTTATAGCGTAGTGGGTATTCCAGGGGGGTAAATGCACAGTAGCAATAAAGCACGAGGACTGTTTTTATCGAGTAAATAATCACAGTGCCCTTCCTTGCCTTAACCCATTTATTCCTCCTAACATCTTCTATGAGGCACAGTTGTTGTCATTGACATTCCCCTCTCACGGATGAAGAACCAAGGCATAACGTGCTTACGTGAGCTCTGCCAGTGGTGAGCTGGGGTTTCATTCCAGGCAGACCAATTCCAGAGTCTACATGCTTCAACTCACTCTTCTGCCTCCCCAAGGCAGGAGAACCTGATAGTCAAAGACCCAGGAAGATGTGAAGGAGTGCTGTCCAATTGAGTAAGCAGATAGCCACACATGGCTATTTAAATTTATAATAACTCGGGGCACCTGGGTGGCTCAGTGGGTTAAGCCTCTGCCTTCGGCTCAGGTCATGATCTCAGGGTGCTGGGATCGAGCCCCACATTGGGCTCTCTGCTCCACGGGGAGTCTGCTTCTCCCTCTCTCTCTGCCTGCCTCTCTGCCTACTTGTGATCTCTCTCTCTGTGTGTCAAATAAATAAATAAAATCTTAAAAAAATATAATAACTAAAAATAAAACTAAGAAGTTGGTCCCACAGGTGCACTAATGGCATTTCAAGGGGGCAATAAGCACATGAGGGCAGAAACTGTAGTATCAGGCATGTAGATCTGGAACATCTCCATCATTGTAGAAAGTTCTGCTCATCAGTGCTGATCTAAAGCATGTCTTCTTAAAACCCTAAGGACATGAAGTGCGGTATGCAAAACGTCCAAGTTCTTTAAATGTGTTAGATGTTCTTGCTCTTTTTCCAACAATTAGCTATTCCAAAAATATTTTAGGAAGAGGAAAGGAAGGTAATTCTTACCAAACACTTTTGTCATCTTGTTTAGTCCTCACGAAATCCTGTGAGGTGGGGATTATTAGCCCCAAATGACACATAAATGGACTGAGGTCCAGAGTTGTTCATTAGTTGGGCCGAGGTCATACACAGTCAGAAATAGTAGAAGCAGGCTTTGAGTTCCACTCAGCCTGATGGCAGACCCTGCCTTCATTTACCTTTCCAAATCCTGATGGTGACTCTTCATTATTTCAAGCTACCCTCATGCCAAACTCAAGTTGAAAGCAGGTATTACAAAACAGAATTCACTCCCAGTATGAGAGCAATGCTTCCAGGAGCTGGGATTACACAACAGAACTGTCTTTCATGTCACTTTCCCTCCCTTCCCAGTTCAGAATTTGGCACGTATGTGTGTGTGGCTCATCTCTCTCTCTCTCCCTTTTCTAAAGATTTTATTAGAGAGAGAGCTCATGCATGAGATGAGGAGGGTAGCGGCAGAGGGAGAAGCAGCTTCTGAGCAGGCAGCCCAACAAAAGGCTCCATCCCAGGATCTTGGGATCATGACCTGAGCTGAAGACAGATACTTAACCCGACTAAGCCACCCAGCGCCCTGCTCACATCTCTTGTATTTCTTTCTGCCCTTATTTCTGCATGTCTCTGAGATCTCTTGCTCAGTTCATATTTCTCATGTTGAAAATCTCTGTAGATCAATTTTTCCCTGATTTTTTTTTTTTGGTTTGTATCTAATCACTCTCCTTTGTCCATATAGTTATAAAATTTAATTTGAAAACTTAAAAGTGAAAACTGAAAATTAGAACTTAAAATTATTAAATCATGGATATACTAATGTCAATTGCTGAGTCATTCCTTCCTGGGCCATTTTCCTAGGAATACGTATCACTTCACATCTGTGATGGACACAAACATATTTTTTGGGTCCCTCTTGGAAAGATATATTCACACACACTTGGTTATTTGGGGAACATCCTATGTTAAGAGGGATCTTCATTAGTGTTGGCAACAGAACCAGCCAATGGCTCATGGCTGTGGGTTTATAAAGAGTCTCAAATGAGGGAGGGGATGGATTAATTGATGTCCTTTGTGCACACATGCCATGGAAGACTCAATCCTGAAACTACACAATTACCACATGGAACCAGAACCAAGATGTCTATTGAAAGGAAATCTATTTGGGGACGAAGGCTTGGGCCTCAATCATTCTGAGTAAATAAATGATTTTTGGTGTTGAATTATTTATGGATAAGGAGAGCTGGTGTCAGACATTGAGCAGTAGAGCAAGTGACAAGTGGCAATGTTTATGCAGTGATCCACAAGGCCAGCCTCAGCCCTAGGCAAGCACTCATGGGTCTGGAATCAGTGTTGGATGATATGTGAGAGAAAGGGAAAAAACAGATTTGGGCTCAGGCTTCTTGTCAAATGCTGGTGATATAAGCTACTCTCTCTCTCTCACAGCTCCACTCTTTGGTATCACTGACCAATGTATCCCAAGAGCCTCGCACTATGTCTTACCCATAATGAGTACTCAGTACCTGCCTGTTGAATAAATGAATGAATGAAGAGTGCCTCTCTTGTACTGTCCCGACATGATCTTCTAAAGGAGTTCAACCTCAAGGGTGTGTGAATTGGATTGAAAAAATTTGATATTGCAACGATCAATTGCAATCTGGGTAGGGCACAGGCTAGGTGTCTAAGGTAAGACCCAAGGACCACAGATTGTCTTGAGATTGGATTAATACAAAGCCTTAGGGAAGGAGTGGGACGCAGGGGGCCCTGATGAGTTGCTTGAAGCCATCTCTCTGGTGTTTCTGACTGATGCAGATGGCACAAGGCAGGGGAAGAACCAGTTGGGTGATTTCTGAGAGCACTGGTTCTAATTATAAACTAACTAATTATAAGAAACCCCGGTGTCTGGACCAACCCAGACCTGTGACTCTGAATCCAGAGAGATGGGCACGGGGAGGATTAATGAAGCAAGAGCTCAAAGAGAAGCCTTGGCT